TGAATGCTGGAGAAAGAATTGTTGCGGGGCGTAGGACAGGCTTTTTTGCAAACTGGCTTAGTTTCATTTTCTTTATTGTCGTTATAAGATAAGCTTTTAAGGCGGAAAAGGCCACAAATAATAGCCACTGCCGATCGTCTAAGGCAATACAAACTGGCGAAGACGACAGCATAATGTGGCCTCTGGGTTGTCCACTGGAAGTGATTTTAGGGTCACCTATCTATCCGCGACATGGCACTGCAAAAACAGAGCAGCCTTTGTAAGCGCTACCAAAGGGTTTGGGTTCCTTGCTACCAATCGTGATGCAGCAATCAGAAAATTGCCAATCCGGAAACCCTCAAAATGAAGAGTCGTAGCCCCCAGCCAGTCATGTCATCAAAAAAATCACGACAGCCACATTTACCAAGAGCTCAAGAAAGGGAACTGGCAATCCAATCCTAAACAAGAAATAAGCGATAAACCTCTACTCCTGTTCAAAAGGCGGGTAGGAGTGTGAACCGGGCGATAGGCGAATGTGTCTACTCATTATTTATACTAGGACTATTGTTCTTATTTTTGGTTTTATCACGACGTTTCGGATGTTGTGCCCTCCGGCCTTCCTCGAAGTGTATATTGATCTGAGTAACCTACTCGGAACTCTGATCTGAACTCTTTATTTAATCTATAGGCGTAGACTGTACTCGTTGCACTGCCCATATCTAAGGATATCATATCTAGTTCTTGTTTTTAGCACTGCTCAGTTATTGCTCACCCGTTTTCACTGAGTCCAAGTACACACTGCCCAACTCAGGGATTACTCAACTAACTCTTGAGTGGTCTAGTGGATAAAAAGCGTTGGTTATGTAGAGATTTTCCAAGCGTAGCTTAGATGCGGCACAAGGCCGAAAGTATGGGGAACTCAGTGAGGATCGAACTCACTACTCAGTCGTAATCGTTCTAGCAAGGCAAGCTTGCTAACAGTTACACCGCCTCAAGGTGACCAAAGCGTTGGTTGAGTAATCAGTAGTCACTTTTTGGATTATTCAACCAACTCTTTTATCCACTTGACCACCCAAGCGTTGGTTGGGTAATCCAAAACGTGAATTGACCCAAAGAGTTGAGAGTTCAATACCTGGCCACACCAGAGGGAACAAAATCTTGGAGAGTTGAGTTACTAAATGGAATTAACTAATAGAGATATCCAGAAAAGGCATGGCACGTGGAATTAGAAGAATCTACCCCCTTGGACAAAATAAGTTCGATTCGAAATTCCAACGTATATCACCTGAAGAAGGTCGAAGCGTACACCAGCCGAAACGTTGTCAATATGACTATAAAGATGAGGACAACAGTCCGAACGATGTAAATAGTTACAATACCTCATCTCAGAAACATTGACGGAATACAATATATGTGTATAAATCGTTTTAGTAAATTTCTTTTGTTGGATTTACCAAATATATGATAATAAAAATATAGTTTTAAGGCATGTTATATTGTTATATCTATGGACAACAGTAATTGTATATGGCCTGAAGATTGCGTTGAAGCATGAAACGGTGCAAGCCACACACATTATATATATATATATATATATATATATATATATATAAAAGATAGAGACAGAAATCGGAAGAGCGTAAATTATTTTTAATAAGGCCCAAACGTTTAGTTTAGTTAAACAGTATTTATTTCGTCTACCAGCTTGCACATTTGTGAAAACGTAAAAGCATATGCCCTCCGGCGGGGTTATAAACATGGGCTGATATGACTTTTGAGAAAAATGTAAACGATGAGATGTGCTTTAAGGCAAATAAAATCTCGCTTTGCTGTGATGCTTTCCATAGCCAAGCAGTCTAAAGTACGCCGAATAAGATGGCTGTTTCTCCTACAAAAGAAGATGCCAATTTTAATCCAGCCGGATGTCTCATTTTCTTTAATTTTTTTCGAATGTTCAGGTCGGTAGACGAAATAAACATTATGTAAAAATGGGACGTTCTACTCAAATACGGGTACTCGCAAAAAATAGTTTGACGTTATATATATTATGCGCGAAGACATATAAATATATCCCCAAAAGGGTGATACCTCCAGGTTTAAAATGCATTTTTAAAATACGAAAAAATCTTTCTTGAAACTTATTTTAGTTTTAATTTCCAGATAATAGATTAAATTTTATATTTCCAATAAGCAAAATACTTTCCTGTACTTCAAACAGAATTTAAATTAGTTATTAAATATCAACCATATTAGCGAATTTGTAAAGATAACATGATTCTATTTACAAAAATCTTTCAAAAATAAAATATACTTCTCTGAAACTTTATTTGAGGAAGATTAGCTGATTAAAGTTTAATTAATCTGATTTGAAATAAATATTACTTACTTTTAGTTTGAAATATCGCAGAAAAAACATTTTAACACTGAGGTGGGTGTTTTTATGACAACTATATAGATAGACTGATGTTTGGGGATTTTTTCTACAGGCTACATAACTAAAAAATTACTTGAATATGACGTGACGACTATATATAAACCACTGATCTTTAGAATTTAGGAAAATATTCCAAGCAATCTGTTTTATTGAATTTTATATTGTTTGCGCTTGTAGACTTACGTAAACGCTTGTAGAGGAAAATTACTAATAAATACTAAATTTATAATAGTTACCGCTCTTATTTTGTGATAATGTTGTGCATGGCCGTTCATATTTACAAACGTCGACATGTTTATAGACACCCGCAGAAAAAAATTAAAAACTGTTTTTAAAATACTGGGGTGGATGTATTGTAGGTGTCCAGAATATAACTTATTCATAAAAGCAATTAAAAGCTTTCTAAATTAAATAATGTCTTAGTTTTATAGCATTTTTTATTTTATGATTCAGAGCAGAATTCTGTAATTGGGGTCTTGATTAAAAAAAAATTAAATTCTTCAATGACGTATATTTGTAACTAATATAAACACTAAGCGAAAAAAAAAATTATCGAAATTTTAAAAAAATATATAAGTAACAGATGTAAAAAGTATTTTGCCAAGATTTTATAAAAATAGAAACATTTCTAAAATAATTTTATTCATTTGTGAATATGTCCTGAAACTTTCATTAATATCCGACAATTATGTAAATCAGTGTAGATGTCTCATTGAAAAGAGAATAGATAAGTGGAGTTCGGTGAGGCGTGCAGAAGGAGAGGGAAGATGGGTTGTGATTTACTGGGGTGACGGCCTTTGTAGAGCTGTCTCTTGGCGATGGGAGGTCGCTTTCCGACGAAGTCCTTGAACCCGGGCCAAGATGCCATCCAACTGCTGAAATGTCCCTTTATTTGATTTCTTAGATTCAAATCGGCTCCAGTTTTTATTTTGTTTCTTTAGGCAGGAGTGAGTACTATTTTCTTTGGGTGTGTGAATAAAAACGGAAGATATGTACGGATCCTTGCGCAGTTGACAGAATTTTAATTCAGTTTTGTGTGTTCAGAGCGTTCACATCCGGTCAGTGGTGAAAATAGTGTAGTATGAATCAGAAGAATATTTAGTTTTAGGAAGAATGTAACATTCATAAAAATGTGAAGATATTTTACTATGTTTACATTGATGATGAAAAAAAAAGCATAAAATACTGAAAATATATTATTAAATTGCAAATTTGGAAAGTTGAATGAACTCTTTTGTTGACGTATAAATATCGGTGTGAAAAACAATACAATCCTATGCCCCTTTCCTCTAACTAGAACGAAGATATTATCAACAAATGAGGTGTTCGGATAAAACTATTATGACTTGTTTCTGAGCATAGTTATAGCGACGCAATGTCTGGTTCAGGAGAATAAAAACAAAAAGGAATATTCTGGTGGAAAAATGATTGAGAACAAAACTCATCCTCTGGATTATTTTTCACGAACCAGAAGACCGGAATTTGTAACTAGCGATAATTTAAAAAAATAGTTTTGAGAGCATATCGAAGTCAATATAAGAAAGGTTGTCGGTCAGTTAAATCGCTATTCATTTTCGATGAGTCAGAGTGGATAGTTAGAAAAGATGGGGGTCAAGAAAATCAAAGTTTTCAGAAATAAAGAAAAGAGGACTTTAGATCCCGAGATAACCAACAACCCCGGGCAACATACGAATTTTAATACAATTTTGGATATGCGAATGAAACCAGCCAAGTTTTCATGGATGAAACGAGAAAACTTGCTCGCTGTTGCCATAATTATACAAAACTGTACCAGTTTCAACACGTTTATCACAACGATTTTCATTCGACAATGCTCGTTTAGTATCAAACAGTGCCGCCTTTACTTTGATCTATCGATCCCGGACAGGTTAGAACAGCAACAAGATAACGTGGATTTTGTTGATTCCCCCCCCTTCCGAGAACTATTTTTTAAACTTTATCAATCAATGTAAAACCCCACTTATATATGAACATTTTTCTCTACCTAGCTTAATTTTTATTATTTGCTTATATAATATATATATATATATATATATATATATATATATATATATATATATATATATATATATATATATATATATATATACTTGTTTTTACCATTTTTTTTTTTTCAGATAAATTATTGTGAATAAACGAATTCTGTTTCCATTTCGTGCCAGGTCTAGTTTTATTGTGCGAATAAAGAATTAACTAATATATAATATATTACACAGCATAATCCTAAAGTCACGATAAATATTTTTGGCTAATAATTCATTTTATTTTTGTTTTCTTTCTGGTTTTAAGAGTCTGGAAAGTGACTCTCTGAAATTTTATTTTAAGATATCTATGAATCATTCAATATTTAACTAATTCTTTTTACATGACATTTTCTAAATAGCTTGTCCACAAACCAGCGAAACATTATTCGGTAATTTGTAATAAAGAATTCTAATACAAGGAAGAGAATTTGCCAACCAGTCAAACTGCTGTTTCTCAATCATCGGGCAATTCAAAATAAAGGATCCGAAGAAAGAAAAACGTGTCGTAGGCATTAGACAATTTAACTTGATTTAGTTCTTACCTGAATTGGTTTTGATTACAGATGGTTACTGATGGGAAGACGAGCGACTTGTTATAGTTAACTTCGACATTAACCGTGACTGGCCAAGTGTAATAATAAATGATACGGTCAATTATCTGGTAGGACATTAATCCCATGCATAGAAGGACCAACACGAGCCATAGTAATCTGTAAAATAAACAAGAAAAGTAACAATGGTATTGTAGTTAAAACACACGCACATTTTTACTTTCAACCAATTCTTATGAGAATATGACTTGCATTAATTTTCGAAAAGGCTCTATGAATTACTTGCTTTCGAACCATTCTGAAAATGAGATGAGGATTTACCTTTAATTCGATGCAAAAAAGCTGGGAAAATATATCAACAACTTTCGACATGAACTAAGTATTATAAACAAAAGATATAGAATAAATATTAACAGATGTTTTTAAGTCACTCATTTTCTTTAATCACGAGAAACACCATGATTCATTCTTTTGAAACACCATGATTCATTCTTTTAGCATACGTACAAATGCACGCACAAACATTTTCTTTCTCACGTTTTTGCCAACACTCTGTGAAGATCGAAAATAGACGATATCAAACGCCATCCTCACAAACGAAATTCTCAGAACCAAACCATGTCAAACCAGTCGGGATGTTACACTCACTTTCACGCAAGTACCCTTGTGAAAGGTATGAACCCATCTCTTTTACCTAAGCTATGAGTTGAATAGCTGGACAGACTGGAGCCTTGGTTGGCAATCTGTCTACCGTAGGTAAGAAATGGTAGCCTACTACAGAAAATTTTCTGCTTAGTCATGAATCGAAACAGATATGATCTCTCAAGCGTGTATGGCATATGGCACTTGACTAGATGCGCAACTAGATCGCCTCGTAATTTCTATTCTAATAGTGTCTTTCATCGAATATCAATCGCCATCTTCTACTTTCTGTATCCTGGTCTTTTTCTTTACTTCTCACTAACGCTTTTCTCATTTACTTCCCCTGTTTTTGCTTGCGTGTAAGTGGCAGTATCGACTTGCATATATCTCCTGTGTCGATTGTTGTTTAACTTGTGTGATAGTGCACTTGAATTCATTTAACGTAATAAAACTGTTTCGGAATCTTCACTTATTCTTAATCATTCGTAGTAGCGAGATTTCTGCAAATTTACATTGACATGAGAGCTATTTGTACAATGAATAAATGATTATTTACTGTTATTTTTTTATCAGTGGCTACCGCTAGGATGCACCGGAAACCAGACAACGAAAATATACATGAATCCTCTTGATCAACAAAATTCTGTTTTCATTATAGAAATCTGTAAGCATTTGCTAAGTTTATCTAAGACTGGGACAAGGCGATAAAACCAGATCACCTCATCAGGAATTAACTCGTTACACGAAACTAGTCATATTTATAAAGTTTACTCGTCGCGAATTTAGTAACTACAAGTTTCATATTTGGACTAAATACCCCAAACTTAATAATTGTTTTTTGATTATTAAATTATATTTTTTTAATCATTTTCAGAACGTTCAAAATTTTGATTAGCTTTTTAATTTTGAGACATTTTAGAATCTTTTTACAGTTAAAAACACATTGATTCTTGAAAGAATTTCCAAATCAAGTTGTCGGATTTTAATGAAACTTTCGGGACTTAGTAAATCTTGGTAATTTTTTTTATTATTTCTGTTATCCCCCACATCCTCCCCTTTAATTTAATTATATGAACTTTTGAGAAATTCATTTCTGTAGGGATTAATATTTATATTAGGTATAAGCACAAGTCCTTGGAAAATTTGAATAATTTTAACTTTAAAAATCTGTTCTGAAACGTAAAATAAATAAAAAAAATGCATTAAAACTAAGATATTATTTAATTATAAAATCTTTTAATTGCTTTTATGAATAAGATATTATGGACATTATTTTCTTAAGATAAAAACAAAAACAATTTTCAATAAATAATGAATTTTTGTAAGAATCGTTTTCATTTTCTTTCACTAGAATAATTTATAAACTTTTAAATCTTAAAATTCTGTATTAATTTGTACGGGTTAGGCGATATTGTTATTAAATAAAAACTATATTTAATAATCATAAATGGGAAAAGCTTACTACAATTCAGCGATCCCAGTATTTTAAAAAGAATTTTGCATTTGTGTGTGTGTAAGTGCGGACGTCCACACATGACATTATCCCAAAATAAGCGCGGTAACTATGGTAAATCTAAAGCCAAAGTACCTACAAAAAAACATTAAAACATTAAATACTTAGAATATTTTCCTAAATTTTTAAGATTACTGGGTAATTAAATTATTTACAAAAGGCGCTCACCTTATATTAAGTTATATACCGGAATACCTGAGTAGATGTATTTTCATGGCGCTGCCTAAGAAACCAGGCGCTAACGAATATGAACTTCCCAGGACAATCAGCCTAATGAGCCACATAACAAAACTCATCACCCGAATTCTGATGAATGTAGCGCGCAGCAGAATTAGGCCAGAGATAGGACAAGAACAGCGCTGGTTCGTCAAAGACACCGGAACAAGGAAGGCGATATTTATGTTCAGAATGTTATCAGAAAGAGCCATACAAATGCAGAAGGACGTATATCTGTGTTTTATAGACTACGCAAATCAGGAATCTATACTGGCAGTAAACTGCCCGCATACGGACAGAAAATGAATTCAGCAGATATACAAAAATAGAAAGGGGTGTAAGACAAGGATATATCTTATCAATAGATTTATTCAAATACAGCGAGGAAAATTCTGAGAGAATTAGAAACTCTAAGATTCATTACTGGCGGCTACAAATCTTGATAATATAAGATATGCAGATGACACAGTGTTAATAGCAGACATGGAAAGGAAACTACAAAACCTCCTTCAGAAGGCAGTGAAGGAAAGCTACAGAAAGAAAGGAATAAACATAAACTACAAGCCAGAATGCATGGTCATCAGCAAGAAGATGAGCCTAAAATGCAAATTACAGGCCGGGAATACTAAAATGAAGCAGGTACAGAAATTTAAATATCTAGGAATGTTCTAACAGAGAACAGAGAGTGCGACACTGAGATCCAAAAATGTATTGGGATGACCAAAGATGGATTCCAAAAGCTAAGCAGAATATTAAGAGACAGGAAAATTTCGTTGGAAACAAAGAAAAGTTCTGAACTGTTACGTGATATCTGTTCTCCTGTATGGCAGCGCATGCCGGGAATTCTCAAAGATGAAGAAGATACTCGAAGCAACAGAAATGTGGTTATACAGAAGGATGCTGAGAATGCCATGTGACGAACATGTGAGCAACGACTTGGTTTTGGAGAGAATGAAAACAAGGAAACATACTTAACATCAGGAAGAGGCAGTTGAAATTCCTGGGGCTCGTAATGAGGAAGGAAGGCTTGGAAAATCTGATATTCACGGGATAGATAGAGGGAAAAGCAATAGAAGAAAGCAATGCGTGACATACTTGATGGGCTTGAGAAAATGGATGATATGACAAGTTTGGGACAAATAACAAAAAGACAAAACTTATTCAGATTTACAAGGGACAAGATGTGGAGGGCCATGATTGCGTATATCTTGAAGGAACACGACACATAAAAGAAGGGGAGGTTTTACGGATAGGTTCGCTATAGAAAAAAAAAAAAATTCCCCCAAAACAGCCTGTCAATAGAGCGGTCAACAACTCGTAAAAACACCCACCGCAGTGTTAAAAAAAATGTCTTTCTGCGATATTTCAAACTAAAAGTAATATTTGTTTCAAGTCAGATTAATTAAACTTTAAATCAGCTAATCTTCCTCATATAAAGTTTCAGAAAAGTATATTTTACTTTTTAAAGATTTTTTTTTAATAAAGAGAATTACGTTGTGCTGAGAGAATTGTAAATATGGCTAAAATCAGTCATTTTTTAGCGATTTCAAAAAACAAACTTCGTTTAAATTCTTTTTAAAATACTGCAACGTATTTTGCTTATTGGAAATATTAAATTTAACCTAGGAGATTGAAATTAAAACTAAAACAAAAGTTTCAAGAAAGATTTTTAAAAAATCATTTTATACCTTAGATATCACTTTTCAATTGGGAGGTACAATTTAAAATTTGCTAAATTTTCAGGGTGTGTTCGATATTGGAGACATTGTTTATAAAAATAGTGCGTACATAAGAATTAATACTGACAGTAATTATGCGGCGTTGATTCCACACTATTACACGTATATATGTTAAGAGAATCTACTTTTATGAATTAAACATATTCGAGTTCTAGGTCATTTAGATCAAAGACTTCAAAGAACTCTTTGACGTGGTTGGATAACATTGCAAAGTGTAGGCCTTTCATCCGGGTATTCGTATTTGTTGGTTGGCGCCCAAATTAATAATAAGGTGGCAATCATAAAAATTCTCGATCAGCTATTCTTGAGTCACGTAGACAATGTGCAGAGAGTAGAATCTTGCTTTTGAACATTCACAGTAACTCCCTCGATTCAGGGCTTGAGCACCGTGTAAATGGCAGCATTGACTAAGGCCCCGCGTGGAGAAGTAGATTGGCATAATATGGCTCTAGTTACTCACAATCACCCGAACCCTAACCCCGCGCGGGGGGGGGGGGGTCGGGAATTGTGTGCGTTATTGACAATTGTGGGTACTTTTGTGGTAGCTAGTGCTACTAACACGGCATATCCTTTTCATTTTGTGTTGAAATGTTAAAATTTGGCGCATGTTACATAACATTACGTTAGGTCGTCCTCCATATTCTGACCGCTGATGATATCTTTTTAAATAGCTGACATAGGAGTATGTGTGCGCACACGTATGTGCATGCAAATAAATCGAATATATTGGATACTCTTTTTGTACACACGTCTATCTATATGTAAATCTATTGCATCTCAAGTGTCATTGTCTGTATTTTTACAGAAAAGTAAATAGACCTTAAACTTGAGTGACGAAAAGTCACAACCCGAAGCTGTGCAAATTTTAGAAGTGAGTGAATGTCTTGATAGCAGAATGTGTGAAAATGTCTTCTCCGATTGACTTGCACTAAGTTCAAAAGCTCAAATAAAAAATAAAAAAGTTTATATGGTGAGATAATAGGCCAGATGTCTAAGGTTGTTTTCTCAG